TAAACTCTTAAAGTTTTATAATTTTTGTAATTCCTATCAAAAAAACAAGTTTCAGATGTTTCGCATTAGTCTAGTTTTTGAAATTATCCAAAAGAATTTATCAAACTTTCATTATAGGGTTGTGGAGATTGTTGAGTTTCATTAAAATCATGAATCGATTTACAATCCCATAATGACAAATCAAGTGTTCACTAGTGACAAGCTTCGTTAAGAAACTTGCAGGATTCTAGTGAGAAGCTATGACTGGTTTAGTTCTAACGTATCGATTGAGAAGCAGTTACCCACCGAAGACAACAGATTAAGTGGCTCAGTTCCGTGAACTGATTGAAGTTAGACATAAACACTGTTGGATGATGGCTTAATGATCTGAAATTCAAGTGTTCGCCTACAAGACTGACCGTTCCGAGTTTTATTCTTGCCTGCGGGGTCGCGAAGGAGCACTCGTGATGAGTCCTATGCTAGGACGAAACGGTTTTTTGGTGCTTTTGGGTTTCTGATGGTGTTCTAACAATGATCAGTTCATTATATCATTGAAATAAATTGTTGAAAGTAATAGATATGATATATATGGTATTCTATTTGAAATTTCAGTGGCTAAAATATTTTTAGAAATTTTAAAGCAAGGCAAACCCTAACTTTAAATCCCAAAAGCTAAAGAAAAAAAGACCGGGCGAATAACATATTGACCCGGAAATCGGAGTTAGACAGTACTAGAGTGAACAGAGTCTGAAAACCACTTGACAGGAGAGCCCTGGACAAAATTGATTGGTAAATCCTTGTTGAACGCTTCTGTTTCATGAAGAAGTACGAGACGCATTGTTGGGGATATTAGATCCCCAAAACTCGCTTGATAAATGCCTTACTTTGGATTTCACGTTTGCGAGCATGGGCAGTTCGGTTGACCTTGAGATTTCATTTTCCACCAGGCTGTGATTGGCAGCTATGTATTTTAGTATGCTGTTTTTGTAACTCTCCCAATGACGTTTCTATGTTGTATAGATAAACGAGAGTTGCATGCTTGATTGTATTGTGTGATTGCTGGGTGTTTCGTAGAATATACTTTCTACGCTTATCGAGACTTCTGTTTTGCAGTTTGGGATTCAAGGTAGCCTATCTGGACACTGGTTCATTGTCTCGTTCACGTTTATCGACTAACTAAGATGAACTCGTAATAGCTTCAAGCGTATCTAGTGACGAACATATCACGCATGTAATTAAGTGTACCTTAGATAAAAAGAAATCTTTTATTGGCCATAAAATGTTAGTTAACAAAAACTTGAAATAAATCGTTTCTCACTTACTTTATTCATTGCACCAATACTTCTTGAGCCAGCATCATTAAACATTCGTGAGTGTAATAATAATGCACGTAATGCTAAATATAATCGACCTAACATTGGTAAAATCAATAATAGATATGGACTAAAATGATCACTTAATTGTGTACGTTTATGATGCATAGTATGAATCACTGGGAATGAACTGTTAAAAAATAAATCAATACCAGGAAATGGATGTATGAAACAGATGAATAATTCTGCGATAATCTGTATAATTCTATGCTTTGTCACACAGATTCTCCAATCTTTTGTATATTCTTCACATAGAAAAACCTAAAAAAAAAACACAAATAAAAACAAAAGGGATGTTACATTGTCAATGGAATTTATTAATTTAAACAAATAAAACTCCTTGTTTTTAAAACTATCGGGAATAATAATCATAATATTCGTTATTGTTAGAATAAATAACGATTTCTCGGAGGGTTTTCAAAAAAGTCATCTACACATAAAGTGGTTTTATTAGAAAAAGAATAGACCTGTTAACATTGAACTGTTAAATGATCAATATACTCATCAGTGTAAGAACCATTTTTCAAGGCTTTGTTTGTGAAAATCCCTCTCTATGGTATACATTTGTAATAGGTCCTTATTGAATCTTTCAGTTGTACATTTTGTGAGTCTGTTCGATTCCGATTTCAGATGATAATATTTGTATTTTATTATAGTTTCTATTTCTTTTACCCTCACTGAGCTTCTATGTTTTTTTCTGAACTGCATTTATGTTGTTTAAGCTGATACTTAGTTATGGCGACAGCTATATTGATTTGTACCTCTTTTGATTGGATTGCTTGCTTGGACTGGAATTGTGCATTTTGATTATGAATTGAAGCACTATTCCAGAATTAGAAATACTCTGTGTTATAAAGCAACCAAATATTATCTGTCGAACGAATCTGATCTATCCAGAATAACATTTATATGTTGCTGTTGATTTGAATAATTGAACAATCGTTGGTGGAATAACTGAGTGGTAATATTTATTGAGGTGATGATGTATATTTATATTTATGATGAATATTAGAACCGTTATTTACTCAAATCACTTGTTTTGAATTCAACTGGGCAAGACGCTTATCTAAACTACCTAGACAGTTATTCCTCAGTGCAAACCTCAGTTTGGATCCTACAATCAGTCATAGTTTAATGCTGAAATCTTTAGAACTTGTCGATAACCACTAGTACTGAATGTATGTTAAATATGACGAAAGGAGGTTGATCAAATAATATTAAACTGAAAAGAATTACCTAATTGTAAAGGTCACAATAAACTAAGAATTGATCAATGTTAGACCAGAGTTGAAATCTTAAAACATTGAACAACCGTTTCGTTTTTAAATATGATACGTTTTAGTAGCGTAAATTCATAAACTTGCAAGCGGGAATGACAATCATCATATGCTTACTAGTGAAAAGTTTTTCTAGTAAAAAGCCTTAACTGGTACATTACAACGTTGACAGGTCTCAGGCAATTATCCACCGAAGACAATTGATAGTGGTCGCAGAATATTGTGGATAAATGGAAGTTGGATAATGACACTGCCGACTTAGTGGTCAATAGGTTAAGCGTTCACACTCAATACAAATATCCTGGGTTTGATTCGTGTATGTCCACTTCTGATGAGTCGCAAACCAGGATGAAACGGCCATTCACTGAGATTATGAACAATAAGCAGGGATATATATTGGTATCCTATCTGAATTTCTTTATGAGTCCTTAAAACTCAACTAATATTTGCTTGAAAACTTTGCTGAAAGCTGAGTTGAGTATTGTAGTGCTTGTACTTTTATGTTGAGCTCATAGAGCTTTCCCAAGCCTTTGGAAAACGCAACTCATTCATTCTTCCCATTCGTTAGTCTGTTGACCTTGTCATCTATTCGCTTTTACCTTGGTTGTTTCGGTTCCATTATGTGTTTGCACAGCTTACTTCGCTTACTACATGTCTGAACATAAATGCTGACTCACGCTTTACCGTATGGAGTTGGCTCGCTTGCATTCCCAGCTTCGCTTGTGTGTTGTTCATTCCCGTCTATCTGCTGAAATGAATGTATGAACAGTTGCTTGAAATAAATTCATCCAACCTAATCCGTATTTGCCTTCCTATTACCGCCGTCTCTCAAACGGAGTTCAACTAAGCAGGATATACGGAAAATGTAGGAGAAATTTATTTCATAGCATATTTCGACTGTTCGTAAATATAGAAGTTACATCACGGGCCACCAAAGTATGTCGGTGAATACTTCAGATAAACTTAATACTGTAACAAAACAGTTTTTCTGATTCCCTTTGACTTGGTGATTAAATATACAAGTTTACTGAACTAAAGGTACACATCAATGTTGAATAAAGTGAAACTGATGTATTGAACTCATCTATTGTCCAAAGCATCACTTTCAGTTAACCGAATACCATCACAAAGCTATCATTTATCATAAAAAAATATGTATAGAGAGAGAGTATATTTATAAATGACATTATGAACTTACCATTATATCATATACATGATAACAGATAATCAGTAGAAGAAGAATGATTGTTGAAAAAGTAATAAGAATTCGCATTGTTGTTGAATATATACTATTCTATAAATAAATATTTAAAAGTAACGAATTAGTAAAAACTATTTGTTTGAATAAATCAAATTAGCATAATGGTGTATTTGAATTCAAAACACATTGAGCATTGAAATTGAACAAGATTTATGTCTTGATGTGAATACACCAAAATTGAGTCGCTGTTACATTTATGTGACTAATATCAAACGACATGAAATGATAGACTGGTGCCTACTGAAATTCGAAAGACGATTTGCACAAGATCACAAAAGAGATTGATCAATTTGATTCATTGAACATTGTTGATACTAAGAAGATTGAAACTTATACAAGTCAGTTTAAATTTTGTGCTTCATTTAAATATATATTTCATAATAATTGGTATAAAATGAATAAGAGACAAGTTTTAGATGGTTAGGAAAATTTGTACGTCAGGTGGATGATTGTGGGGGAGTTTTTGTTGTCTGAGCTGGATGTTTTGGTTTTGGAGCTTTCATTGTTCATCAACATCATCAGCAAAAACTTCAAGTAGAAGAAGTGAAGTAATCGAATTTCTTCACGTATGATTTGTCACTTGTTCTGTTGACCTGTCGTTGTCTGCATCTTTGTTAAGAAGATATCCCTCTTCTGATGGAGGTCGACAGAACGAGCTATGAAATCTAAGTGGAGAAATTCGAATATTTCACTTCTATCTGAAGTTTGTGCTGATGATGTTGTGTTTAGAGGAACAATGAAAGTTCCACAACCAAAACATCCAGCTCAGAGAATAAAACTTCCCCACAGAAGACAACTTGTCAGTTTGATAAATTTTTGTTAGAGCATACGTACAGTTGTATCTAACTGATGAGCCATTAAGTAGTTGAAAAACATGTTGTCTAGAAAATTATTAAGAAACGGCTTTCATAGCCAAATTGTGGACGCCTTCTACATTATCCATGAAAAAAGCACAATGCACATGTTAATTCAGTTTTTATGGTCTTCTGCACTCCTGCGGCGTGCAGGAGTCGTGGATGCGCACTGCTGATGAGTCCCATACCAGGACGAAACGGCCGTCCAGTGCTTCCAGGTTTCTAATGGTGGTCTAACTTTGATCGATTCATGGTTTCGAATGTGTAAATAGGCTTAAACAGTAATCACAAAGCTCTATTAGAATTACGTAATAATATAATACAATCGTTTATTAAGTGAAATCCGTTGAAGGAAGGAACAGGAGTGTTACAAATGTCTCCTGAACACAATTTAGAGTTGAATGTTCGGGTTTCTATGGCTTCTGTTAAATATGTAGGATATGGGATTGAACGTTTTTAGGAAATGATGAAGATAAACGATAGATCACTCAAAATGATTCAGTTTCATCCCTTTAATATGATCGCTATCTACCAGATGTACCGAAATGGAGCTACGTATTGGTTCTATCGAGCACTTTCCAAACCATGCTAAAGGATGTTCAATTGTTCGTTGGTTAAGTTGCCTGAGAGTACGCTCAATATATCTGTCACTACAGGAGCAACTGAATTTATAATTGTACATTGAGGAGAACAATCCAGAAGGCTTATCCTTCGTTTAAGTTGACATTGCTGGTCAATTCAAAAAAGTCAACTGAAGGTTGGCAGCGTAGACTGCGAGACCATGAGTTGATTGAAGTAAGACAATAACACCTTTAGGTAGCGGTTCAGTGGTACAGAGGTTAGGCGTCCGCGCACAATGCCGAAGGTCATGTGTTCGAATCCTGCAAGGTGCAGGAGTTGTGGATTTGCGCTGCTGATGAGTCACATACCAGGACGAAACGGCCGCCTAGTGCTTCCACGTTTTTGATGGTGGTCCAATATTGATCGACCCATGGTTTAAAAATGTGTAATTAACATAAAATGATCTTTATTGAAATCGTAAAACGATCCAAATTAGACTGCTATTTAAACCTAGAAGCACTGTATGAACTTTATGTCAAAGTATGTTGCTTCTCGGAAGTTCTCATTCAAGAATTCTTGAGCGTGAATGTGACTGAATTATATTCACTCCCCACAACATCTGGCTCATATAACGAAACTCCATCAAAATCATCCATCTGAGCTACAAATTTTCTCCACCATAAGCATGAATCAGACACAAGACCTTTAGTCATGAACGCATGACCGACATCCGACGGTGTTTACACAAGAAAACAGCTTCAAGGTTTCAAAGATATTTCACAGCTTGAAAAACGTCCACAAGTACCTATGAATATGTTGTGAAAAACTTGTCGTTTGTACAACAATTCCGCTGGTTATTTTGACAAATTATAGGGTTTTTTTGAGAAAAGACACTAATTTATACACAAAAATTTCAAACATCCACTTCAATTCGAAGACTCTTCATTAAGAACGACTTTTTTTGAAACATAAAAAAACATTATTCGCTTAAGAATATTTTTCTCTTTAATATAAAGACTACTAATGAAATTATCAATAAACAAATATCAAGGGAATTGTGCAAACAAACTAATCATTAACTAACGCATTTTCGCAGACAGAATATTAGAGTAAGACGTTTGTATTTGAGATTTCTACCAGATTCTTCTTATCTACCTCTCTATCTATCTATCTATCTATCTATCTATCTATCTATCTATCTATCTATCTATCTATCTATCTATCTATCTATCTTCACTCCGTTGCAGTGACACGATAGGCTATTATAATTCGATTGACCCAGGTTTTCGCTAACTAGATCAAGAAGTCTTGATAAGGCGTAAAGAATGTATTCTACAAACACCCAGAAAGGTGGAGGTTGCTAAGCACGCAATTCAATGATACAATGATAGAAACGCCCTTGTGAGAGCCACAAAACTAGCATACTAGAATAACACGTCAGCCAGTGACAGTCAAGGGTCAACTAGGCGTCCATGGGCGCGAAAACACTAAACGATCAAAATTTCAGCAATAAAATTACAAAATTAGCACCGTTTTCCAAGTGATTTCTGAGGATCATGACAAAGGACATCTATTATAAGGAAAAAAACTATGTTATCCCAACTTACTTTATGATACAATGATCGTGAGATGAATTCGATATCAAGAAATGCCACTAATATACCGAATATACTGAATGCTAAAGCAAAATCTGCCATTCTTCTTCGACTTTCCAATAGACGACGTCTTCGTCCAAGATGATAACCAATACCTTTGGATAGTTTCTCAGTTAATCGACGTTCTCTTTTGAATTTATTAAAAAATAATGTATTTTTATCCACATAATTATTTAACATGCTCTTTTGTAATTCTACATTTTCATCTGTTACAGCGGGATAAAGTTTTTTGTCAGCAATTTTAGTTGTTCTAACTACGGGACTATCATCCAATGGATGTTGATGATTGATGTCTTCTTGTTGTTCAGCAGTAGTAGTAGTAGTAGTAGCAGTGGTTGTTGTAAACTCCATCAATTCATTGGCGTTTTTCTTTCTTGAAATTAGTGTGGATGATCCAGAATTATTGCTGAAATTAGAATATAAACAAACAATTATGTAGAATATGAATGATTCAATGTTCAAATTTTATGAAAAGAGTTTGCAGTTCTCTTACTGACTTAATGACTTATATAGTTTAGAGTTTTGGCGCTCGATATGACAGATTCTTCTATGGATTCGTCTGGTGAACTGTTTATGTGATACATTGTGCATAGGTAAGAGTAATTAACATACTTTAAGTACACACGTACATCCGTAAGCATAGAAATAGCTAATCGATCATAGCTGTATCCAACTGTCTCATTAATAAGTAACGTTAACACCATTTATAAAGTTATTAGCGTTACTCTTAGTTCGTTGGTAAATGGATGCACATTAGTTCAAATTCTTCTACCACATTAGCACAAACACAAGAAAATGTCAGAGAAAATCATATACATTAGTAGAAGTACTAGTAGTATTAGTGTTAATCGAAAAGATTAGGGAAGGAAGAAATGTTACTAGTGACTAGCTTCGTGAGGAATTTCTCGGCGTTCTAGTTAGAAGACGTGAACAGCGGAGTTCAAACCTGTCGAGTGTAGGCGGTCACTACCGAAGACATGGGGTAAGGCTGCTCAAAATCCATTGATCGATCAGAAATAGGCTATAACACCCGTGAACACTAGCCTAGTGGTACAGAGTTTAGGCATTCATGCGCAGAAATGAAAGTTCCGAGTTCAAATCCTACGAGTAGTAGGAGTCGTCAATACGCACTGCTAATAAATCCCATATCAGGTTTATAATGATGGTCTTACTGTGACTGATTCATGATTTCAGTAATACACAACAATCTTTATAATGAAAAATTGAAGAAATGACTTGAGAAAGTATAACCAAGTGAAATAAATCTTGAGAAAGTATTTTTTCCAAAACGGATAAAAAGGAATTGAAAAGATTAGAATCCAGGGGACGATGAAAAATGAATGCACCTAAGCCATTCTAAATAATTTTTAGCCTTTTCTCTAACTAATATTTACGATTGTCATGCGAACCACAAGCAGGCGGTCTACACTTATTAACATGGTTAAGTTCAATTCCTAATGACTATATAGACTATAAGTGTCAGATTTCGATTTGATTTGCCCTATCTTTTTTCAAACTTACTCCTACACCAGACAGCATCTACGACAGAGGTAGTCCATAGTTAAAGCGTGCACAATGCATGTCTCAAACACCACAGTTGATGAAGATTCACTACTTCATCAAATGATTTCTCATCCGTACTGATTACCCTATTTCTAACTTCAAAGTTTCACCATGACAAAATATTTCAGATAAAGCATAAGATTTGTTTTTTAAAAACTTTTGATTTAGTTTATTACACAATATCTTACACAATAGTATGATAAGTATTATCAACTGATCAAAAACTATGTTATTTAAAATCCAAGGCTCAGAAATATTATATATATATATATGTATATATATAATTTATGATAAACGTAATCAACTCTTTGTAATCCTCTTCTGAACTGTATAACACAGTTGGGTGTTATCTATTAACAGTTATCAGGAATGCGTTGGGGACGTTAGATCCCGAAAACTCGCTTGATAAATGCCTTAATTTTTGATTTTACGTTTGCGAGCATGGACTGATCAGTTGACCTTGAGAAGGTCAACTGATCAGGCCATGCTCGCAAACGTAAAATCAAAAATTAAGGCATTTATCAAGCGAGTTTTCGGGATCTAACGTCCCCAACGCATTCCTGATAACTGTTAATAGATAACACCCAACTGTGATATACAGTTCAGAAGAGGATTACAAAGAGTTGATTACGTTTATCATAAATTATATATATACATATATATATATATAATATTTCTGAGCCTTGGATTTTAAATAACATAGTTTTTGATCAGTTGATAATACTTATCATACTATTGTGTAAGATATTGTGTAATAAACTAAATCAAAAGTTTTTAAAAAACAAATCTTATGCTTTATCTGAAATATTTTGTCATGGTGAAACTTTGAAGTTAGAAATAGGGTAATCAGTACGGATGAGAAATCATTTGATGAAGTAGTGAATCTTCATCAACTGTGGTGTTTGAGACATGCATTGTGCACGCTTTAACTATGGACTACCTCTGTCGTAGATGCTGTCTGGTGTAGGAGTAAGTTTGAAAAAAGATAGGGCAAATCAAATCGAAATCTGACACTTATAGTCTATATAGTCATTAGGAATTGAACTTAACCATGTTAATAAGTGTAGACCGCCTGCTTGTGGTTCGCATGACAATCGTAAATATTAGTTAGAGAAAAGGCTAAAAATTATTTAGAATGGCTTAGGTGCATTCATTTTTCATCGTCCCCTGGATTCTAATCTTTTCAATTCCTTTTTATCCGTTTTGGAAAAAATACTTTCTCAAGATTTATTTCACTTGGTTATACTTTCTCAAGTCATTTCTTCAATTTTTCATTATAAAGATTGTTGTGTATTACTGAAATCATGAATCAGTCACAGTAAGACCATCATTATAAACCTGATATGGGATTTATTAGCAGTGCGTATTGACGACTCCTACTACTCGTAGGATTTGAACTCGGAACTTTCATTTCTGCGCATGAATGCCTAAACTCTGTACCACTAGGCTAGTGTTCACGGGTGTTATAGCCTATTTCTGATCGATCAATGGATTTTGAGCAGCCTTACCCCATGTCTTCGGTAGTGACCGCCTACACTCGACAGGTTTGAACTCCGCTGTTCACGTCTTCTAACTAGAACGCCGAGAAATTCCTCACGAAGCTAGTCACTAGTAACATTTCTTCCTTCCCTAATCTTTTCGATTAACACTAATACTACTAGTACTTCTACTAATGTATATGATTTTCTCTGACATTTTCTTGTGTTTGTGCTAATGTGGTAGAAGAATTTGAACTAATGTGCATCCATTTACCAACGAACTAAGAGTAACGCTAATAACTTTATAAATGGTGTTAACGTTACTTATTAATGAGACAGTTGGATACAGCTATGATCGATTAGCTATTTCTATGCTTACGGATGTACGTGTGTACTTAAAGTATGTTAATTACTCTTACCTATGCACAATGTATCACATAAACAGTTCACCAGACGAATCCATAGAAGAATCTGTCATATCGAGCGCCAAAACTCTAAACTATATAAGTCATTAAGTCAGTAAGAGAACTGCAAACTCTTTTCATAAAATTTGAACATTGAATCATTCATATTCTACATAATTGTTTGTTTATATTCTAATTTCAGCAATAATTCTGGATCATCCACACTAATTTCAAGAAAGAAAAACGCCAATGAATTGATGGAGTTTACAACAACCACTGCTACTACTACTACTACTACTGCTGAACAACAAGAAGACATCAATCATCAACATCCATTGGATGATAGTCCCGTAGTTAGAACAACTAAAATTGCTGACAAAAAACTTTATCCCGCTGTAACAGATGAAAATGTAGAATTACAAAAGAGCATGTTAAATAATTATGTGGATAAAAATACATTATTTTTTAATAAATTCAAAAGAGAACGTCGATTAACTGAGAAACTATCCAAAGGTATTGGTTATCATCTTGGACGAAGACGTCGTCTATTGGAAAGTCGAAGAAGAATGGCAGATTTTGCTTTAGCATTCAGTATATTCGGTATATTAGTGGCATTTCTTGATATCGAATTCATCTCACGATCATTGTATCATAAAGTAAGTTGGGATAACATAGTTTTTTTCCTTATAATAGATGTCCTTTGTCATGATCCTCAGAAATCACTTGGAAAACGGTGCTAATTTTGTAATTTTATTGCTGAAATTTTGATCGTTTAGTGTTTTCGCGCCCATGGACGCCTAGTTGACCCTTGACTGTCACTGGCTGACGTGTTATTCTAGTATGCTAGTTTTGTGGCTCTCACAAGGGCGTTTCTATCATTGTATCATTGAATTGCGTGCTTAGCAACCTCCACCTTTCTGGGTGTTTGTAGAATACATTCTTTACGCCTTATCAAGACTTCTTGATCTAGTTAGCGAAAACCTGGGTCAATCGAATTATAATAGCCTATCGTGTCACTGCAACGGAGTGAAGATAGATAGATAGATAGATAAGATAGATAGATAGATAGATAGATAGATAGATTAGATAGGATAGATAGATAGAGAGGTAAGATAATGAAGAATCTTGGCTAGAAATCTCAATACAAACGTCTTACTCTAATATTCTGTACTACGAAATGCGTTATTTAATGATTCAGTTTGTTTGCACAATTCCCTTGATATTTGTCTATTGATAATTTCATTAGTAGTCTTTATATTAAAGAGAAAAATATTCTTAAGAGAATAATAATGTTTTTTTATGTTTCAAAGAAAGTCGTTCTTAATGAACAATCGTCGAATTGAAGTGGATGTTTGAAATTTTTGTGTTTAAATTAGTGTCTTTTCTAAAAAACACCCTATAATTTGTCAAAATAACCAGCGGAATTGTCGTACAAACGACAAGTTTTTCACAACATATTCATAGGTACTTGTGGACGTTTTTCAAGCTGTGAAATATCTTTGAAACCTTGAAGCTGTTTTCTTGTGTAAACACCGTCGGATGTCGGTCATGCGTTCATGACTAAAGGTCTTGTGTCTGATTCATGCTTATGGTGGAGGAAAGTTTGTAGCTCAGATGGATGATTTTGATGGAGTTTCGTTATATGAGCCAGATGTTGTGGGGAGTGAATATAATTCAGTCACATTCACGCTCAAGAATTCTTGAATGAGAACTTCCGAGAAGCAACATACTTTGGACATAAAGTTCATACAGTGCTTCTAGGTTTAAATAGCAGTCTAATTTGGATTCGTTTTACGATTTCAATAAAGATCATTTTATGTTAATTACACATTTTTAAGCCATGGGTCGATCAATATTGGGACCACCATCAAAAACGTGGAAGCACTAGGCGGCCGTTTCGTCCTGGTATGTGACTCATCAGCAGCGCAAATCCACAACTCCTGCACCTGCAGGATTCGAACACATGACCTTCGGCATTGTGCGCGGACGCCTAACCTCTGTACCACTGAACCCGTACCTAAAGGTGTTATTGTCTTACTTCAATCAACTCATGGTCTCGGCAGTCTACGCTGCCAACCTTCAGTTGACTTTTTGAATTGACCAGCAATGTCAACTTAAACGAAGGATAAGCCTTCTGGATTGTTCTCCTCAATGTACAATTATAAATTCAGTTGCTCCTGCTAGTGACAGATATATTGAGCGTACTCTCAGGCAACTTAACCAACGAACAATTGAACATCCTTTAGAATGGTTTGGAAAGTGCTCGATAGAACCAATACGTAGCTCCATTTCGGTACATCTGGTAGATAGCGATCATATTTAAAGGGATGAAACTGAATCATTTTGAGTGATCTATCGTTTATCTTCATCATTTCCTAAAAACGTTCAATCCCATATCCTACATATTTAACAGAAGCCATAGAAACCCGAACATTCAACTCTAAATTGTTCAGGAGACATTTGTAACACTCCTGTTCCTTCCTTCAACGGATTTCACTTAATAAACGATTGTATTATATTATTACGTAATTCTAATAGAGCTTTGTGATTACTGTTTAAGCCTATTTACACATTCGAAACCATGAATCGATCAAAGTTAGACCACCATTAGAAACCTGGAAGCACTGGACGGCCGTTTCGTCCTGGTATGGGACTCATCAGCAGTGCGCATCCACGACTCCTGCACGCCGCAGGAGTGCAGAAGACCATAAAAACTGAATTAACATGTGCATTGTGCTTTTTTCATGGATAATGTAGAAGGCGTCCACAATTTGGCTATGAAAGCAGATTCTTAATAATTTTCTAGTTAAAATGTATTTCCACTAATTAAAGACTCATCAGTTGAATACAACTGTACGTATTCGCTAACAAAAATTTATCAAACTGACAAGTTGTCTTCTGTGGGGAAGTTTTATTCTCTGAGCTGGATGTTTTGGTTGTGGAACTTTCATTGTTCCTCTAAACACAACATCATCAGCACAAACTTCAGATAGAAGTGAAATATTCGAATTTCTCCACTTAGATTTCATAGCTCGTTCTGTCGACCTCCATCAGAAGAGGGATATCTTCTTAACAAAGATGCACACAACGACAGGTCAACAGAACAAGTGACAAATCATACTCGAAGAAATTCGATTACTTCACTTCTTCTACTTGAAGTTTGTGCTGATGATGTTGAAGAACAATGAAAGCTCCAAAACCAAAACATCCAGATCAGACAATAAAAACTCCCTCACAATCATCCACCTGACGTACAAATTTTCCTAACCATCTCAAAATTGTCTTCTTCGTTTTATACCAATTATTATGAAATATATATTTAAATGAAGCACAAACTTAAAACTGACTTGTATGAGTTTCAATCTTCTTAGTATCAACAATGTTCAATGAGTGAAATTGATCAATCTCTTTTGTGATCTTGTGAGAATCGTCTTTCGAATTCCAGTAGGCACCAGTCCATCATTTCATGTCGTTTGATATTAGTCACATAAATGTAACAGCGACTCAATTTTGGTGTATTCACATCAAGACATAAATCTTGTTCAATTTCAATGCTCAATGTGTTTTGAATTCAAATACACCATTATGCTAATTTGATTTATTCAAACAAATATGTTTTTACTAATTCGTTACTTTTAAATATTTATTTATAGAATAGTATATATTCAACAACAATGCGAATTCTTATTACTTTTTCAACAATCATTCTTCTTCTACTGATTATCTGTTATCATGTATATGACATAATGGTAAGTTCATAATGTCATTTATAAATATACTCTCTCTCTATACATATTTTTTTATGATAAATGATAGCTTTGTGATGGGATTCGGTTAACTGAAAGTGATATTTTGGACAATGGTTAAGTTCAGTACACCCGTTGAACTATATTCGACAATGATGTGTTCTTCTAGTGTAGTAAACTTGTATATTTAATCACGAAGTCAAAGGGAATCAGAAAAAGTGTTTTGTTACAGTATTAAGTTTATCTGAAGTATTCACCTACATCGTTTGGTGGCCCGTGATGTAACTTCAATATTTACGAACAGTCGAAATATGCTATGAAATAAATTTCTCCTACATTTTCCGTATATCCTGCTTAGTTGAACTCCGTTTGAGAGACGGCGGTAATAGGAAGGCAAATACGGATTAGGTTGGATGAATTTATTTCAAGCAACTGTTCATACATTCATTTCAGCAGATAGACGGGAATGAACAACACACAAGCGAAGCTGGGAATGCAAGCGAGCCAACTCCATACGGTAAAGCGTGAGTCAGCATTTATGTTCAGACATGTAGTAAGCGAAGTAAGCTGTGCAAACACATAATGGAACCGAAACAACCAAGGTAAAAGCGAATAGATGACAAGGTCAACAGACTAACGAATGGGAAGAATGAATGAGTTGCGTTTTCCAAAGGCTTGGGAAAGCTCTGTGAGCTTAACATAAAAGTACAAGCACTACAATACTCAACACAACTTTCAGCAGAGTTTTCAAACAAGTATTAGTTTATTTTTAGGGATTCATTAAGAAATTCTGATTTTTCTCTTTATATCAATACACATCCCTGCTTGTTGTCAATAATCTCATTGATTGATCGTTTCGTCCTGGTTTGAGACTCATCAGAAGTGCGCATACACAAATCAAACCCAGAATATTTGGTCTTGCGTGCGAACGCTTAACCTCTTGACCACTAAGTCGGCGGTATTAATATTCAACTTCCATTTATCCACAATATTCTGTAACAACTATCAGTTGTGTTCAGTCAGTAATTGCCTAAGACCTGACAAAGTTCAACTGCACCAGTCAAGGCTTCTTGCTAGAAAAACTTTTCACTAGTAAGTATATGATGATTGTCATTCCCGCTTGCAGGTTCGTGAATTTACACTACTAAAACGTATCATATTTAAAAACAAAACGCTTGTTCAATGTTTTAGGATTCCAACTCTGGCCTAACATTGATCAATTCAAGATTTCAATTCCTAGTTTATTGTGACCTTTACAATTAGGTAATTCTTTTCAGTTTAATATTATTTGATCAACCTCCTTTCGTCATATTTAACATACATTCAGTACTAGTGGTTATTGACAAGTTCTAAAGATTTCAGCATTAAACTATGTCTGATTGTAGGATCCAAACTGAGGTTTGCACTGAGGAATAACTGTCTAGGTAGTTTAGATAAGCGTCTTGCCCAGTTGAATTCAAAACAAGTGATTTGAGTAAATAACGGTTCTAATATTCATCATAAATATGAATATAAATCATTACCTCAATAAATATTACCACTCAGTTATTCCATCAACGATTGTTCAATTATTCAAATCAACAGCAACATATAAATGTTATTCTGGATAGATCAGATTCGTTCGACAGATAATATTTGGTTGCTTTATAACACAGAGTATTTCTAATTCTGGAATAGTGCTTCAATTCATAATCAAAATGCACAATTCCAGTCCAAGCAAGCAATCCAATCAAAAGAGGTACAAATCAATATAGCTGTCGCCATAACTAAGTATCAGCTTAAACAACATAAATGCAGTTCAGAAAAAAACATAGAAGCTCAGTGAGGGTAAAAGAAATAGAAACTATAATAAAATACAAATATTATCATCTGAAACTGGAATCGAACAGACTCACAAGATCTACAACTGAAAGAATCAATAAGGACCTATTACAAATTTATACACTGAGGGATTTTCACAAACAAAGCCTTAAAAATGGATCTTAATTGATCATTTAACAGTTCAATGTTAACAGGTCTATTCTTTTTCTAATAAAACCACTTTATGTGTAGATGACTTTTTTGAAAACCCTCCGAGAAATCGTTATTTATTCTAACAATAACGAATATTATGATTATTATTCCCGCTAGTTTTAAAAACAAGGAGTTTTATTTGTTTAAATTAATAAATTCCATTGACAATGTAACATCCCTTTTGTTTTTATTTGTGTTTTTTTTTTAGGTTTTTCTATGTGAAGAATATACAAAAGATTGGAGAATCTGTGTGACAAAGCATAGAATTATACAGATTATCGCAGAATTATTCATCTGTTTCATACATCCATTTCCTGGTATTGATTTATTTTTTAACAGTTCATTCCCAGTGATTCATACTATGCATCATAAACGTACACAATTAAGTGATCATTTTAGTCCATATCTATTATTGATTTTACCAATGTTAGGTCGATTATATTTAGCATTACGTGCATTATTATTACACTCACGAATGTTTAATGATGCTGGCTCAAGAAGTATTGGTGCAATGAATAAAGTGAGTTGGGAAACGATTTTTTTTAACTAATATTTTAATGGCCAATAAAAGATTTCTTTTTACCTAAGGTACACTTAATCACATGCGTGATATGTTCGTCATTAGATACGCTTGAAGCTATTACGAGTTCATCTTAGTTAGTTGATAAGTGCGAACGAGACAATGAACCAGTGTCCAGATAGGCTACATTGAATCCAAAACTGAAAAACAGAAGTCTCGATAAGCTTAGAAAGTGTATTCTACGAAACACCCAGCAATCACACAATACAATCAAGCATGCAACTCTCGTTTATCTATACAACATAGAAACGTCATTGGGAGAGTTACAAAAACAGCATACTAAAATACATAGCTGCCAATCACAGCCTGGTGGGAAATGAAATCTCAAGGTCAACCGAACAGCCCATGCTTGCAAACGTGAAATCCAAAATAAGGCATTTATCAAGCGAGTTTTGGGGATCTAATATCCCCAACAATGCGTCTCGTACTTCTTCATGAAACAGAAGCGTTCAACAAGGATTTACCAATCAATTTTGTCCAGGGCTCTACTGTCAAGTGGTTTTCAGACTCTGTTCACTCTAGTACTGTCTAACTCCGATTTCCGGGTCAATATGTTATTCGCCCGGTCTTTTTTTCTTTAGCTTTTGGGATTTAAAGTTAGGGTTTACCTTGCTTTAAAATTTCTAAAAATATTTTAGCCACTGAAATTTAAATTAGAATACCATATATACCATATCTATTACTGTCAACAATTTATTTCAATGATATAATGAACTGATCATTGTTAGAACACCATCCGAAACCCAAAAGCACCAAAAAGCCGTTTCGTCCTAGCATAGGACTCATCACGAGTGCTCCTTCCCGACCCCGCAGGCAAGAATAAGACTCGGAACGGTCAGTCTTGTAGGCGAACACTTGAATTCCAGATCATTAAGCCATCATCCAACAGTTTTTATGTCTAACTTCAATCAGTTCACGGAACTGAGCCACTTAATCTGTTGTCTTCGGTGGGTAAATGCTTCTCAATCGATACGTTAGAACTAAACCAGTCATAGCTTCTCACTAGAATCCTGCAAGTTTCTTAACGAAGCTTGTCACTAGTGAACACTTGATTTGTCATTATGGGATTGTAAATCGATTCATGATTTTAATGAAACTCAACAATCTCCACAACTCTGTAATGAAAGGTTGATAAATCCTATTGGATAATTTCAAACTAGACTAATGCGAAACATCTGAAACTTGTTTTTTTGATAGGAATTACAAAAATTATAAAACTTTAAGAGTTTAAGCTACTGATTAATCTTAGCTAGACCATCACCAAGTATCTGTGAAACCTAGTAAAGAGAGATCAATTATTGTCAAATTTGAGATATATATCTATCTTAATCATGGGTTTATTTTTTAAGTTACACAGTAATCCTGTTAGGTACAGGCTCAACAGCTGTTACGCCAGCACATCATTTCGATATGCTTGAACTATTATGAGTTTACCTAGTCGGAAAACGAGAGCTAGGATCGAGGATCCGGCGACACGACGTGCTAATCAAATCCGATTATCCTAACCCCTATATTGAAGACATGATATGAAGTAGAACCTGTATTCTACAAGCATCCAGAAATTACGAGGTCCTAGTTCAGAAGAGAATCAGGATCCCGGTCTAGGGATCCGGGACCGGGTCTTGGTCCTGGTCATTAAACGTTACAGATAGTGAGTATTTATACATTTTGGATGGAAAGGAAACATCATCGAATTCTGTGACATTGACAGTTAAGACTACAAAGAGGAAACAACATTTGAAGTGACATTGATAGTCAGGACAACCAATAAGAAACAACAATGAAGTACATGACATTGATATCTACTAGGACGACTATAAAATTGACCAGTCGCAATTAACCAATAAGAACTGACCAATAATTATCTTACGACATTAGATGAATATCCTAACAACAGCTGAAAAGTTTAGCTTTTGTGTACGAAACCGAAGGTTTTCGATTTGATTCCAGATTATGTGACTAACTGCATTATTGAAAAGTTCAGCGTTAGGAAGAAACTTCAATCGACTACCACCGGCAAATTAACAGAGATGCGTGTATAATCAACAAATAAAATCCTAGTGAAATTAATTGAATGTAAAAACTTTTGTAACACACAGTCAACTTAAATTATTTGTTTGAAGTAAAAAAAAGTAGGACTAACAGTCTAAAATGTGTTGATCATAACAAATGAACACAGGATGATAAACTTGCATCTTATTTCATCATTTAACAAGAATTAACAAGATTTAATTGATTTGATCTGAATAAATTTGACATTTTCACTGTAATCATTCACCTGAAATTTAAAAAAAATTTACAAATCACTTGTAAAATATTTAAAAAAATATTGTATTAAATTTACATAGCTTGAAGCTTGAATCCGAAAACAATTAGTTTAAACAAAAAAATGGAAGTTGATAAACTGTTCATGCTCCAATAACGTGTATGATACAGCCAGGATTATAAAGTACTTATAAATATATATATATATATATATATATATATATATATATATATATATATATATATATATGCACATCACAGCTTCATTTTACAGTTACTCACTATTCTCTTCATATGACGCTTCCCTTATAAAGTCAAGGGATAAAGTTTAGCTTATATTATAAATAGATAAAATGTGGATAGCAGTGGAATCCAGTGGGCACATTTCTTCCTATTCAACACTCATCCGCTGATAGATGTACCTAGAACTCAGAGTTGATGCTCAATGAGGGACTCGAACCAAATACTGTTCGTTTCAAGTGTCAACACGTTTATCTTTTTAGCTTCTAAGTCTCGATTGATACTCACTTGTGAAACGCATATCAGATTCAATTCAATTTGAAATGGTTTTTCACTTATTCCAGTTGTTAACTTTCTGAATAAGATTTGATCAATCTTGGCTGACATACAAACACCTGATGCTAATGGCCTTGATATAACAAACTATTATGACTTGAGTTTATCTAGAAAATGGATGATTGATGTTAGAATGAAACAATCTTTTGCTTCTTACACATTGAAATCATTAGACCACCATTAGAGACCTGGAAGCACTGGACAGCCTTTTCCTCCTAATATGGGACTCATCAGCAGTGCGCATCCACCACTCCTGATACTCCCAGGATCCAAACCCAGGACCTCCGGTATTGCACGACGTGACCAGTGGAGTTCAACCCTGTCGTGTGTAGAAGGTAACTAACGAAAAAAAAATGTATGAGGTCACGCAAAATCCTTAGATTGATCAAAGTTAGACATTAACACCGTTGGATGCCGGCTCAGTTGTTTAGAGGTTACAGGTTCACGTGCAAGACTGATGGTCCTAAGTTCATATACTGTAAGTAGCAGATGTCTTAGATGCGCACTGCTAATGTGTCCCATTCCAGATAGAAAAGGCTGTCCAGTGCTTCCAGGTTCCTAACGGTGGTCTCACAATTTATTTGTTGATGATTTCACTATGTAAAAACACTGATTTCGATAACTCTATTTGAAAAAATCTTATGCCTACTGATCAGTTTATAGCAAACTCTCTTTTTCATTCAATCTATATAAAGACTATTTTCGTTCATAGGCTAAAAATCTTAAACATTATTTTTCATAAAAAACTATCTATCATTTACATATAGCACATATATTTTTTTCTCATTCAATAACATAATACACACTGATGCACATTGATAACTAGATATATACAAATATGCTTACTTATTGTCTAAGTAAGTAGTATCCTCTTCAACGTGTCTCTGGTTTTCTCAGAATTATTGATCGTTTTTCTCAGTGATCAATGTGAGAAATACTCCATTATATTTTTCTACTCATTGTTATGGTTATCAATCATTGCAACGAAATTTTGGGGAATTAACCAAGACAAAGTTGATTATTTTTTGAGATTTTATTCATCTTAAAATAAAATTGGACTGAATTTTCTGTTGAGAAAATCCATTAAGATTTTTTTCACATTTCTACTAATACTACTACTACATATATATATATATATATAAGTAGTATAAAAAGGAGTGGTGGTAGTAGTAGTAGTAGTAGTAGTCGTAGTATATACTTGCCTATTCACTGATGATGATCATTGTTCAATTGAAACTAGGTTTATTCATTAAACTTTTTCTGAATAATTAATATATATTACTCTTGACAATTTAATCAACTTGACTGGGCATATTGACAACGGTTGTTTTCTCTACATATAAATTAGATTGGTCTGCAGATTTAAGAAGGGCGGGTAAAAAAAATAAGGTTTTAATGAACTGGTTCACTGTTGTACTGTAAAATTGTGTTTACTATTGTTCAACTTTCCTATGATTAATGACCAGTTTAAATGGGCAATTAAAAATGCAAAACTCTTGAATTGAGTGAGAACGAATCATCAAGACGAAACTACATTTGTATTTGCTGATTGCTTTGTATGCCTATGTGAGTGTGTGTGTATGTGTGTATGCGTGTATATATGCATACGTACTAGTAGTGGAAATGTAGTAGTTTCAGTGTAAAAATAGTAGTTGACTTTCTTCTGCTCAATGTGTCTTTCTTATAGGCATTCGATTGATTATTTTTTTATCTTTGGATAGAATGTTGAAAGTTTACAGTTTACGTAAATGATTTCTTCAAATCGAAGTAAAATTACACCGATTAACAATTAAATTCAATGCTTCTTACTCATGCTAATGCTCAGAGTAATGATCGGTGTTATTATTATTAGTAGTAGTTGCAGAGATAAGATTATTGTGTTTAGTGAAGAGACATTATATATTGTAAGTTTGATTAGCATAAAACTCCGTCTGGAGCCTCTCTGTGGCTACTACCGGTCCCTCTTCCTCCTGGTGATTGACTGGATTGTGAAGATGTCATCATCATATGGAGGGTAGTCCGGGATACAGTGGATAGCTATGACGCAGCTGAACGATCTAAAGTTCACAGGTGATCTGGCTCTTCTATTGCACACGCAACAACAAATTTAGGAGAAGACGACCAGTGTA